TTTGTGATTTCAACTATCATGATGGGGGCATCTGCAAAGCTGTTGCCATGCTGTGGAAGCGCTGACCTTTTAGACTTAACACCTTAAAAAGTAATAATTTAAAGCTGCCTGTATCAACATGAACAAATGTCAGAAACACATATTTTATTAGAGATGGGGTTTCACCATATTGGCAAGGTGGTCTCAAACTCCTGACTGCAGGTGATCCATTAGCCTTGGCCTCCCAAAGTGTTGGGGGCCACAGTGCCTGGCCAGGAGTCTTTAAATGCCATTATGAGGCCTGGTTCTGGTCTGGTGATCCATGAAGGCCACCCTAAACCCCAGAGACAGGAGGATCCAATTAAAGAAAGGGAAATCAAACCCCAAACAAAACCAAATCTCCTGCTCAAAATAAGTATGTGACCAAACTTTCAGAAAATCAGCAATCTGTATTAATTATTTTTAAATTTCTCTGAGGAACTACAACATGTCAGGCTATGGGCTAGGTGGAAGTTGCAATCAAGTAGGTGAGGCAGACAATGTATAAATGTATATTTATATATTGTGGTAAGTGTTACTGAGAAAAAAGCAAAATGCATGAGAGAGACTGAATATGAAGGACCTATTTTTAAGGGGATCAAGGAAGTTCTCCCTGAAAACAGAACAAATAAGCTGAGTACAATTCACAAAAAGTATGAAATCTTACTTTTTCATCATCTTCAGTAAATGGAGCTCCTTCAGGAATCTTATTTATCGCTTGGGCCACACCAATAATCTCACCATCACTGCTTCGGATAGGCATGCACAATAATGATTTTGTCTTGTATCCAGTTAGCTTGTCGATTTCATCATTGAATCGTCGATCCTAAAAATAAGACAAAGAAAGCATTAACTGCCTGTGCATTATTGTCAGGGAGAAGGAGAGAGAGGTTTATTTCTGCGTATGATACCTTATCACTGGGAACTTAGCCCCATGGATTTTTAATCACAATAACAGATTTGACTTCATTTTTAATTCACCAAAGGAATATAAATCAAAATAAGTCAACACCATAGTTGTTTGCCATAGTAAATGAAGACAGAGACTTTAAGCCCAACTGCAACGTATCAAAATTGGGGGAAAGTGTTTTTAAGGAAAGCCTATAGTATGCGATTTATGAAAATGTGTTATTTCAAAAAGACAGGATATGAAATGTCATATAAGAGACTTACATGAGAAATATATACTAAACACTGTGAAAAATTGTTCAAAATAGAACTACTTTATTTCTAGTCAAAATGATTCTGTGAAAAAAGAATCTATGAGTACATAATGATATTTCAAAATCCTCCCCAAAAGATATAGGGTATGGGGAGATAAAAATTTTCTCTATAGAATGCCAGCTAAAATATATAAAATAAATGATAAAATTAAATAGTATGTATTTTGCAACTACCAATATAATTATGTTTACAAGCAAGGGTCATTAAGTATGCTAATACCATTGGGTGAAAAACTGTTTAACTTAAACAGTATAGTCATACAGTCTCAAGGTGCCACACCCAAAGATTCCTTATTACAAAGGTAAAAGGTGTCTTTGTAGTGAATAAATCTGGTGAACACCACCTCAAACAAGTAAACTTAGCATCACTGTTAAGAAGAAAAGTTAACACCACGTGCCTCTTGATATAATGCAATAGGAAGGACACAACATCACCAAGAATACAATCAAATGTGTAACGTGAATCTAATTTTTCAGGAAATGAAAATTAAGAAAGGTAGAGATCATCAGTCATTCTATCAGAAACCTAACCCTGGATGCTTAAAAAATGTCAAGATCATGAGAGACAAAAAAAAGTTTTTTTAAAAAATAAATATAAAGTTAAACTATGGGAGCTATACTAGTTTAAAGAAGACTTAAGAGACCTGAAATCCAAATAAAATATGTGATCCTTTGCCAGAAATTCCGAAAATTGCACAAAGGACATTTTTGGAGGGATAATTGGAGAAAGTTCAGTCATATAATGGTATCATTATAAACTTGCTTAGGTATTATACAAGTGTTATAATTATGCAGGAGAATGTCCTTATTCTTAGGATATACATGCTAGAGTATTTGGTTAGTGAAATATCATAATACCTTCAACTAACTTTCAAGGAAGGAAGGAATGGATGGAAGGAGGGAGAGAAAGAAGGGAAGGAGAGAGATAAAGGAGGGTGGAAGGAAAAAAAGAAAAAGATTGGCTCCTGAGAAGGTAACTGTGACTAAAAATGCTCCAAGGTAGATGATAAACTATCATCCAATCTGATAATAAACTATTTCAAGCCAGGGGTTGGAGTGAGGCTTCTTCCTGTACCTTCTGCACACCCATGTTAAAAGAGGCTTAAAAGCACTGCTGCCTATGCTATGCTATTCTCGCTCTGTCACCCAGGCTGGAATGCAATCATTTGATCTCAGCTCACTGCAACCTCCACCTCCCAGGTTCAAGCGATTCTCCTGCCTCAGCCTCCCAAGTAGCTGGGACTACAGATGCAAGCCCCCATGCTGGCAAATTTTTTTTTTTTTTTTGTATTTTATTAGAGATGGGGTTTCACCATATTGGCAAGGTGGTCTCAAACTCCTGACTGCAGGTGATCCATTAGCCTTGGCCTCCCAAAGTGTTGGGGGCCACAGTGCCTGGCCAGGAGTCTTTAAATGCCATTATGAGGCCTGGTTCTGGTCTGGTGATCCATGAAGGCCACCCTAAACCCCAGAGACAGGAGGATCCAATTAAAGAAAGGGAAATCAAACCCCAAACAAAACCAAATCTCCTGCTCAAAATAAGTATGTGACCAAACTTTCAGAAAATCAGCAATCTGTATTAATTATTTTTAAATTTCTCTGAGGAACTACAACATGTCAGGCTATGGGCTAGGTGGAAGTTGCAATCAAGTAGGTGAGGCAGACAATGTATAAATGTATATTTATATATTGTGGTAAGTGTTACTGAGAAAAAAGCAAAATGCATGAGAGAGACTGAATATGAAGGACCTATTTTTAAGGGGATCAAGGAAGTTCTCCCTGAAAACAGAACAAATAAGCTGAGACTTCAATCATGAGTAAGAATTTTCCAGGCAAAGAGTGGTGGAAAGAACTTTCCAGGAAGATGAATAATACATATAAGGTCCTGAAGCAGGAAAAAGCTTAGTAAGTTCCAAAAAGTCAAAGGTCAATGTGGCTAGAGTATAGGGAGACAAAGGGAGAGTGAAAGAGGGAGGCAGTGACCAAAGGGTGCCAAGTCTCACAGGCCTAGAAAGAGTTATATTTAATCCCAAATGCAATGGAAAAACCTCTGAAGATCTTGAAGCAGAAGAATGGCATTGGCCACTATTTAGCACTTAGATTCTCTGCAATTATCTTACCAGTTTACTTGTTCTCCCCGCAACTAAAATATAAAATCTAAGACAGCAGAGATTTTGTCTCTCTTATTTACTGCGTCATCCTAGCATGCATATTATACATGCTCAATAATATTTTTTAAATAATTTATTCTTTTGAAAAGATTGCACTGCAATTATGCAGAATATAGAAAAGGTCCTAAGGCTCCACATACCACTACTTGGCATATATGCAGAAGCACTTTTCCAAATATATAGAAGAGAGGTACACAAATGTTCACTGCAACATCAATTATGAAAATTAAAAATGTGAAGCCATTTGAATGTTGATCAAGAGAAAAATAAATTATGATCTTGTGGTTTGGTAGTGTATTATACAACAATTTAAATGAATAAATTAAAGCTGCCTGTATCAACATGAACAAATGTCAGAAACACAATGTTAAGTGAAACAAACAAGCAGCAGTCTGATACCATCTATATAATACCACAATACTTAAAAATAATACCAAATATCATTTATGGATTCAAATATGTAGCAAAAGTATAAAAGCATGCGAGGGAATAATAAACATTACATTTATATTAGTGGTTACCCGCTGAGAGGAAGGAAGGAAGTGGCATCAGGGAGGCATAGAGGAGGCTTCAACTAGAACAAGAAAGCTTCACTTCTTTAGAAAAACAACTCAGGGGAGCCAGGCGCGGTGGATCACACCTGTGATCTCAGCATGTTGAGAGGTTGAGGCGAGTAGATCACGAGGTCAGGAGTTCGAGACCAGCCTGGCCAGCATGGTGAAACTCTGTCTCTACTAAAAATACAAAAAATTAGGTGGGCATGGTGCCAGATGCCTGTAGTTCCAGCTACTCAGGAGGCTGAGGCAGGAGAATTGCTTGAACCCAAGAGGCAGACGTTGCAGTGAGCCAAGATCACGCCACTTCACTCCAGCCTGGGTGAGTGAGACTCCGTCTCAAGAAAAAGAAAGAAAGAAAAACAATTCACGAGCAAGGTGGTGGTTCTCTGAAGGCTGGGTGTAATCTGTGGCACCCAAGGAAGCTGATCTCTGTTGCTTTGAACCCCACTGGTCAGACCTGCCATGTCTCAGCACATCCCTAGGGCCGACCTACCCCAGGATAGTGTGGAGCACAGCACGTTCACCTGCCACCCAGCCGCCATTCTGTTCTCCAGGCTGCATCTATCCACTGGACTGGTGATGGGGTTGTCAGTGTTTAGCTCCAGTGTTTACCTCCTGCTTCCAGCTGCTGCTTTGAATCCTTGCTCTGTGATGGACTACTCCCTGGCTACAGCCCTCACTCTCCTTAGTCACTGGGACCTTGAACAAGTTGTTTCAGACTATGTCTATGAAGACGCATCACAGAAAGCTGCCAAGGCAGGCCTTTTGGCACACTTGACTTTAACTTGGCACACTTGACTTTAACCTTTGCCGGGCTTTGTGATTTCAACTATCATGATGGGGGCATCTGCAAAGCTGTTGCCATGCTGTGGAAGCGCTGACCTTTTAGACTTAACACCTTAAAAAGTAATTCTTAACACCTTAAAAAGTACTTCTCTTTGCCTCTGCTCTGCCATGCCATTCTACTAACAATAAAAAGGAAGTACGATGGCTCACGCCTGTAATCCCAGCACTTTGGGAGGCCGAGACGGGCGGATCATGAGGTCAGGAGATCGAGACGATCCTGGCTAACACGGTGAAACCACGTCTCTACTAAAAATAGAAAAAAATTAGCCGGGCGTGTGGTGGGCGCCTGTAATCCCAGCTGCTCAGGAGGCTGAGGCAGGAGAATGGCGTGAACCCAGGAGGCGGAGCTTGCAGTGAGCTGAGATAGTGCCACTGCACTCCAGCCCGGGCGACAGAGCGAGATTCCGTCTCAAAAAACAAAAAAACAAAAAAAAAGGAAGTAACAGATAAGATCATTGTTGAGACAAAACTCTTTGGTGCAATCATAGCTCACCTTTGGCATCCAAAGTCCTGGGCTCGAGCAATCCTCCTGCTTCATCCTCCTAAGTAGCTAGGACTGCAGGTACACAACACCACACCCAGCTATTCTTCTTTATTTTTTGTAGACACAGGGTCTTACTAAATTGCCCAGTCTGGTCTCAAATTACTGGCCTCAAGCAATCCTCCCACTTTGGCCTCTCTAAATGCTGGGATCACAGGTGTGAGCCACTGCCCCCAGCCCAGAATTTAATCTTTGAGGAAAAGTTTGAGAGGATTTGTATTCAAGAAACTGTGCAACTGAGTCCCATTTTCTGGTGAGTTAATGAGATTTTTTTCCCAGAATCAGAGTATAGCTAAACATTATATATGAGCTTTTGCATCTTCATTTACCAATCTCTTAAAGAGAATTCAGTTTAATTACTAAATACATGATCAAACATCTCCTGTATTTTTCCTGATAAGGATAGACAAAGAGAAAGACTGTTAATTCATGCATAAAGACTTTGCAGAAAATTAGACAAAATTTAAGTTTTGAAAACTTCCCCCTCT